AAATATACCTGATATTGAGTGTGCACGGGGCCTATTGCTTCTAGTTACCACTGGTGTGAAAGAAAGTATGAAAGAAAATGGCTCTGCAGAACACAAAAGTACCAAAGCAGAAGAGGATATGCCTTTGATAAATGACAGGCAAGTGATTTCATCCAGATTTTCTTTTAACGGTACTGCAAAAAAACTTACATTATATTTACCTTATAGGGCGCAAGATAAAATGTCTATTGCTTATCTGTTACAGTATTGGAGTCTCCTGACTACTTTATCCGCCAAATCAATATTTCAATTCTGGGATTCAAAAATTCCATTTTTGTTATAATATATATTGAAATATTTATTTAATGTTTTTTTTTATTTATTTAAATTTGAAAAATTTAAAATCTAAATCACTTGAAAAGCTTGAGATTCAGACAATAATATTATATTGTTTACATTAAAACATAAAAATTACAAATGTAAAAGATTCAATTGAAAGTTTTATTTTTTTTCTATAATCAAACAGTATTTATTATATTTATTTAATCTTTAAAATGAAAACATAATGGTACAAGACTTTATTCAAAAACTATTTTATTACTTGAATACCTGTCATTGATATTTAATTTCTAGGTACTATTGAAAATAAATAAAGTTGTTTTCCTTTTTTTTTTGTTTCTAAGAAGATTTATTTATTCTTGCATAATTTCATTAGTATTGATCCTCTGAAATCTTTTTTTTTTATTCTAAAATTGTTATATTATTATTCTATTGTAGTATTTTCACTTATTATATATATTTAATCATTTCTTTCTATTCTAAATATTCTTTAATTTTATTTATTCTTTTTTCTAAGCTATTTTTATAAAAATATTCATCTCTATCAATGTAAATATATTTAGCTGTTTTGATAAAAATACAATTTTTTATAATTATTATCTTTATCAAAGTTTCTTATTATTATTATATATATATATTTATTTAATTTCTCTTGAAATTGTAAGATTGAATTTCTTTTTATTAGATCTTTATTAAACAAATAATCATTATTTTATTTATTTAATCTTATATACATATATCTCAAAACTGTATTAAGTTTAATATATCCTTAGAAACTTTAGTATATTATATTGATTCATCTATATAAAATATTTTTTTGCTATTAGTTTTTTATCTTTACCTTTCTTCTAAAATAAAAATAATATATAACAATATATATACAGTACTCGTTATAAATAATGAGAATTTAATTTGATGTAAACTATATATATAAATTTTTCAATTGTATACTTCCAATAACATTAGCTTTTAATGATAGTTTATTTATATATGTAACTTAAAAACAAGCCACAAAAAAAATCCTTTTCTATTTAGTTTTCATTACTTTTTTTATTGCAAAATAGACAATATCCTTCTTATTGACCAATGAAAAATCATAAGTGAGCTTTGGAGCCATGGCATTCGTGATATACTGATTCTGACAAAATTAAATAATACCTTCTTTTTTACAATATACAAGTATATTACTCAACTAAAAAAAAATCATAAACTTAAATCAATTTTGCATCCTGAATATCCAACAATCTTAATTCCCCCAAATTATCATGTGTTAGGAAGAATTATTCAATATAATCAATATTTTACCTGCAAAAAAATTGCCACTAAGCTTAATAATATGATCAAAATATTAGCATAAACAATAAACCGTAAACTTAATAGACTTGGTTACTGCTTAAGTTACTCCAAAACAGTATCTTTACTTACCAAAAACAATGTGAATATCATGTGGAATGAGTGATTGCTCATGCAAGGCAAAACTGAAAAAATGTTGTATTTTCAAACAAAACTACATTTCAGATATTTCGTAACACTATAACTGCATTCTACAAGGCTAGTACAGATGTTTCATAAAAGAGTGTTCCAAAAAATCCTGTAAAAGTTCATGCATGGGATGCTTTCTTAGCACAAGAAATAATTGGTTTTTATATTTTCACTCAAAATATGGATGGATTGCTTTACCATAACATTTTAACTAATAATTTTTTTGAGAATGTATCTAGGATTATACCATTATACTAGATCTTCCAACAGAACAATAACCCAAAGCACATGGCAAAAGAAATGGCAAAACTCCTTCATTGTCAAGTTCTAAAGATCCTTGATTGGCTTTTCTATAGCTCAGATTTAAATCCAATAGAGAATTTATAGGCTATTATTAAGAAAAAGGTGGAGAAACAAGTGAACAAAATAATCAGAAAAAAAAATTAGCATTATGGACTGGCATGAGATAATTTAAGAAAAATAGAAGGGTATTTTCATGAACTTATGTCTTAATTTGACAAACGGCATATCAGGGTGGTTAAATGATATTATTGAAAATAATAGAAAAAAAATCGATTATTAGTATATATAATTTTTTTTATAAATACTATACTAATGTCATTGTAAAACTGCAATCCAAATAAATAAATTTTGTGAAATTTATATTCAAAAAATAATTCTTATTATTTATGATAAGTATTATATATATTGTATATATATATATTATCTTATAATTCTTTATAAATTAATAAATACTTTGGTATTTTTTTATATTTTTAACAAAAAACCTATTTTATATTATTAATTAATTTTTAAATATTGTATTTGTTTAAATATTATAGTTATAGTAATAACTTATTATATATTAATTGATTTTAAATTTTTTATTTTTTATTTTCTTAAAAAAAATAGTTAATAAACTTTTTCTCTGCTATGAAACTAAAAGATTTTTTTTATAATTTTCTATTTTTTTTTCTATTTTTATTAAATTTTGTTAAAAAATATTTATTGAATTAAAATTTCTCTTTTATTATAATTTTTATAAATAATCTTATTAAGATTATTAATAAAGTTATTTTTATATTCTAATACTATAATTAAAATTATTAATAATAATATTTCTTATTTAATTTTTAAATCTTCTTTACTAATTTAATTGATAAATTAACTTAACTTAATTATAAAATAATTTTACTATAAATTTTAACTTAAGTAAATTTTAATTATATAATTTTTAAAAATATATTTAGTAGTTTTAATTAAAATTGTTAATTCAGTATCTTTGTTTGTTTTTATAATATTTTTTGAAAATAAAATTTTACTTAGTTTTATAAAAATATTAATATAATTAATATTATTTGTTTTTTATTTTTTTATTTTTTTTATTTTATTTTTAAACACCAGTTGGACCTTGCTTTATTGACTTTTAAATACTTTATACATATCACATTTTTGTATATTATATATAGTTTACTATATATGAATAAAGCTATATCTAAGTAACTTACATATCGGCTTGTTGCTGTCAGCTTGTCCAAAGAC